TTTAACATGAACCTGAACCCAAGGATGAGCTTTACCTGAAAGCCTTCCGGAGGCATGTCTACGCGAAGAAGTTCTGTAGTGAGTGCTTACCTCGCAAAGCCTCCCTCGGGGACAATCGAAGTTTTTTCCTGCCGATGCGATGCAAGCCATACCGCTCTCCACTCCTCATTATTTTTTCTTCGTGGAACCACAAAACGCTTGTCGCCTTTTGCAATGCTGCTGGAGCAGCCAACGGCACAGCAGGTCGGCATTGCGCTGCATCCGAGGCCGCCTTGCTAAGGCAACACACGTGGGAGCGAGATGCAGCGCGCTCACTCATGCGTCGCTGCCCGGCGGAACCGAGGGGTCAACAAGGTCATTGGTCACGTGTCGCGCCTGGTCCAATAGGGTAGCAGAAACGCGCGCCAGAGTGAGGAGAGACGTAGAGGGTGGGGAGGAAATTCTCCTCCGCTTTTGTACAATGGTTTGCGCTACCTTTGAAAATACTGGGGCCTTAGTGCTATCAGCACAGCCGCACCACTCGTGGCGTGACACCTGCAACACGTAAGCGGAGGCGACAGAGGGTCGCCTATTCACTCTTTCGCACTCCACTTGCTTGCGGCAGGTGTCCCGCCACGCGCGGTGTGGCTGCGCTGAATCGCGCGTAAAGGCCACGTGCTATCCGCAGAGCCACTCCGCACGCGCTGGGACACCTACTGAGCGGAAGTGGAGGGCGAAAGACGGTCGCCTATTCGCTCCTTCGCACTCCGCTTGCTTGCGGCAGGTGTTCCGCCACGCGTGGTGCGGCTGTGCTGATATCGCGCGTACAGGCCAAGTGAATCCGCACAGCCACCCACACGTGCTAGGACACCTACTGAACGGAAGTGGAAGGCGAAAGAGAGTTGCCGATCCGCTCTTTCGCCCTCCGCATGATTGCGTCAGGTGTCCCGCCATGCATGGTGCGTTTTGCGGATAGCGCGTGGGTAGGCCCTAAAAAACAAACTTGTGGCGATTCTTATTTCCTCGTGGTCTGAGGCTGAACGAATAAACAACTATATAACGTATAAAATAACGGCAACGCGGTGTAGGTAGAGAATAGCACGTTCACTCAACCGATAGTTTCATTCACCATTCACAGCTAGGATGACCTGCTGGGTTATAAAGCGAGATTGCAGCTTTGCAGAATTGAAGCGATCCACGACAGGCATTGCCTAAGAACTAATGTAAAAGCAGTAAAATAAATATCCTTTCATAAGAGTGTTAATTAATCTAATATAACCAGCGTTCATCAATGTGTATACGTAACTTACCGTACGTGGTACTAACACGCACGAGGTAATGTGAAGCTTAGGGTATATGCCGAATGGTGGGAAAATGTACACGAGGTCAAACTATGAACCTTTTGCGGCAGGTGTCGTCCCTTAGCATGTCATTCAAATTCCTTTGGAAGCTGTTTTCCCCGGCGCACTTATGAAAAGTCTTCATGAAAAAGTAACCGAAATTCCGAAAACCAAGAGGCTGATATGGTTATCAACCCTAATTATTAATGCTTTAAGAATGGTTTCAATATCGGCATCCTACGAAGTAACCAAACACATAGTTGTCGCTAAACCAGTTAAGGCAGTTTTGTTGTCTCAAAAGATTAAGAAGCTGTTTTTGTTATTAATAATGTATAATTACTTACTTTAGGAACTAACTCTTAGCGCATTAAGCATAAACAAAAACAAGGCAGTGACTGAAGGATGATATCATTATGTGTTTATTCGATAAAATATAATACTAACAAAGGAGTTGAGGCAATGGAAAATAACAATTACGGACAAGTATTGTGAATTGCGCCTGTGCTGTCAAAAGTGTGCCCACCATATCAAAGGTGATTTTTAGAGTGATACGTTCATGGTGTAGTCTAGTACGACGCGAGGTCTCTGTGGGAAATAGTGATTTGGCGTCAAATGAAATCAAGTGAAGTTAAATATAAGCACTCTACCAATTTATCGTTTTCGGTGTTAAGGGGGATATGGCAATAACAGAAAAATAGTGATCAGGCATCGCCATCGCAAAATTTTCTTACGCTAAAAATGTCCGTTACTGAGCGGCCTGCAACGGGAACAAAAGAGGGGTGTTCAGTGGTCTTATTTATTTATTTTATTGTTATGTTTACTATATCAGGCTTGCGTCACACCCAGGATACCATGGAACCATTCTAGGATACAGCCTGGATAAGGTGCGTAGGCTTTTTATAAGCTTTTTCATAAAAGTCATTCAGTTATATTATTTTCTGCGTTGTACGGCTGCATGGTAAACCTTGAGAAAGTGGGTGCACGAGCAGGTCTTCTTTAGTTGTATAACCAACACTGTTTACAGAAGAGCAAGTCTGATGGTTTGATTCTGAAAATTCATTAGAATGTATGTGTCGTAATAATGTATTATGATATGACATGCAGTGATGTTAGTATAATATTTCAATGGGAGATGGCCGACGAGAAAAAGGAGTGCTTGTGGACACTTGAGTGTTTTATTGCTTGACGCAATATTTACAATGATTTAGTTTCAATCGTTTTAGACACTTTGCTTTAGAAGCAAACATATATATACTACGATGGAAAGGAACTCGAGTGAGGAAAAATTATAGTCTCTTGCAATTTGTTATGCAATAAATTTCCACGTTGGAACACACCGCATGTCCATCGTATGATTTACTCTAAGCTCACTATATAAATTGAATCCCGGCTGCGGCGGCTGCGTTTTTTATGGAGGCGAAAATGCTGTAGGCTCATGTGCTCAGATTTGGGTGCACGTTATAGAACCCCAGGTGGTCGAAATTTCCGGAGCCCTTCACTACGGCGTCTGTTGTAATCATATGGTGGTTTTGGGACGTTAAACCCCACATATCAATCAATTATCGTGAAGTCGTGACGTCGACGAAGGCAGCAGACTGTAGGTTCAAGATGCAACTGTTTATTGGACTGAACTTGTGGCTGGTGAAAGGAAGGTCGGATTAAAGCACAGCGATACACAGTGGCACTGAAAGGAAGGTCGGATTACAGCACAGCGATACACAGTGGCACTGATAGTGGCGAGCAAAGCGTCGGCTATCGATTCACTGACAAACGCTGCCACGCATCGCCGTGTATACATGTGCCGTCGAATAATCCAGCGCTATCGATAGCGGCCACGTAGGTTCCTGAATTATCTGTAATGATAACGCTGCTCACTTAAACTTAACAAAATTATCTACTACAACCCGAAGTTTCTCGAACACTGCAGGCGTGGTTTGAGCTGAGAATTACTTACGTTGTAACGGGGCGATAACAAAACTTGAGATACGATTGTGGCAATATGCATTCATTAACTTACTACTTATGCATTACGAGCTAAAACTACAATATCATTATAAGCTCACGCTAAAGGGGGGAAGACCCGGATATTTGTGAACTTGTTGAATTTTTATATGCTATTAAAAAGGCTCTAACATTTTTATATTCCCTAACAAGCTGGTTAATTGCTTCAGCAGACAGTGGCGACTACTTTCAGCGCTGCGCAGACTTACACACTGCGGACAGTTGCAGATTGCGGTGATCGCTCACAGCACTTCGGGTTACAGCGCTGTGCAGTGCGCAGATGCTCCGTCTCGAAAATTAATACCCATGCTTCTTTTTTACGTCTGTCCGATCCCCCTTGCAAGTGCAGTGACAAAATCTTTCACATTGGCCACATTCCGCACTACTGAGCTTGTGAATTGGTTCTGTGCACTGAGAAATACACCTTCGCCCCTCGGTGATGAAGCTTTCGCCACGCAGCCCCCATATTTTAATTTTCCTGTGCCGTTTTGGGAAACCTGATACTAATGAAAACCTACTTTCTGCTAGAGTACGGTTACATTCCTCAGCAATGCATCGTTGTGGTGACTAGTGCAGCGTCCTCCTCATCACACCGAGCTTCCTCCCCTCGCCGGTATGGTACATGCGCACGTGGCAGAAGCCCTGCTCAATCGTTGGTTGCGCCCTGATGACGTAATCGCTGACGTCGTGGTACGTTGACGAAGTGGGCGTAGCCTACAATGGGCCTCTGCTTCGAGAAAAGGGTGAGTCCCTCCGATTCGAAAAAAGGGTGAAAAAGACGAGTGAAAAACTGAAACCAGCCAAAGCGGGTCGTTCTAAACAATGTAATTTCCTTGTTAGAGCCGTCATTCGCAACGTTCTTGAGGTTCACGATCGCATTGTACAGGTGCGTGGTTAGGCCCTTCAACATGCGCCTAAATGAAAGTCAATGAACGCGTGTACATTGTTTTTAACGCTACAAAAAGGTTAGTAAGACCTTTGCAGTATTTTTCGCTCCTTCTCCCGTTTTCATGATAAAGGTAACAAACGCCAGCTTCACCTTCAAGAGGATTGAACAAAAAATAGCGATATCATCCGGCCTGTCTTAATGCATTTCGCCAGTGTTCGCTTCCCATTAACTGTTCCTTGACAGTACCTGAAACTTCCGTGCCTGTCGGGTCATAATTGATAACCGACGTAAATATCATGTACGATTGCCCTAAACTGTTACGAAAAATAAGATTGAGTCCGCAAGCTATAGAAAATGAGAATAACAATGATTTTTCGGATTTCACATCCCACAAACATGGCGAGGAACACTGTAAGGAGGAAGCCGCGGAAATTTCGAAAACCTGCATTCTTTCAGGTGTTCCTAAGTATGAGTACACGAGCTTCTAGCATTTCGGGATTCCATTCCGCCACCTTCAAATCAGCACTCAATCACTAAGAGCACGCGGCTAAGCACAGCACTACATCAATCACCACTCGTGTCTTTCAGTGCGAAGACGGCTGCCTGTATGAAGTTACCGTCCAGCTGGCAATCGTCATGGTTGGCAAGCAGATCATCAACAACATCAACGAATTCGCACAACTGTAAGATTATCACTCATTTATTTTTCCAAGCGAACTTTCTTGTGAGTTACGGACTCTGGGGGCGGCATTGATGCACCCGAAAATCCCGGCGTTCGCTATCGCACAGAAATGCCATCCTCAAGGCGCGCCGGTGATATGCGTATTTTTGCTCTTTGTTTTTCAATATATTTCAACAAATGTCGGCAAAACTTGTGCATATCACTCAGACTCGCTCATTAAGTGTAATTTACACTTAAGCTCACTGAGATTCAAACTTCCCAAAACGTCAATCACCCGGATTCCCTCAGACTCACGGCTAAGTTCGAGTCTGAGCGAGTTCGCCGACCTATGATGAACAGCCATTTCTAAACGGCAATCAGTTACGCTTCACTTCAGTTACGTCTCAAGTACCTAAGTTACCTATTCAGCCTGACCGTCACAACCAACGCAGGCGAATATCGAACCGATGGCGCTCGTGGCCGCGGGACCACGTCAGGCGCAAAGGAGGACTCCGCGCTGGACCGCTGACCCGCTGGGAGGAAGACTACGTGCTGGCAGAGTGGCGGATGCTGTCACTCTTCGACGAATACCTTGAGATGGGTGCGCACCCTACTGGGGGGATACGATAGCGTGCTTGGTGGCCGCCTCTCATGCGCAATGGCGTCTCTGTGATAGAGCTGTTGAACACTATACTGCCCTATAGAGCGAACGTTTCGACAAGAGCACTCGTCTTGAGACCATTGTGATCTTGTATGCTATGCGGGCGCCCTTAATATGACTTGCAACATGGAACCGCGTGACCTCACGAGTTCAAAGGGAGCTCATGGCTTCAAGTAGTTTTTTTTTTCAAATTTCAGGATATAAATGTTGACTTCTTATTTGGGATCGTACCAAAGTCCAAGAAGCACGTTTAGTGATAAAAAGGGGGCTAGTCGAAGCCATGCGCAATTTCTGAATTCGTGACGCCATCCGCTTTTTTGTTCCGAGTGATATTGAGCGCGACTGTTCATTAGGCCGTTATACTTGTGCTACGTGATGGAGTACTTTCATTAATTTTGTAGTTTATTACCCCAAAATAACTAATGTAGTTGTACATAGTGGAAATTGCGCGATCACAAGCAGGTCCTTTTTTCTTATCTGTATTATAAGCCTTCACGTAACCTTTTCAATTTTTTAAACGAGAAGGCACGTTCAAAGATAATATCATGGCAAACGCTATCACAGAACCAGTTTGAAGCACGGGATTAATACAATGCAATAACGGAGGAAAAAGAGGCGCAGGAAAAGAGGTCTTGAACCGTCCAGTCATCCTACACTCTTAAAAAAAGTTAGTAAAAGGTAGCAATTGCAGGCAAATAGGTAGTAACTGCAGTGGTTACTACCTTTCTTCGACCGTTACTACCCTTTTTCTACCTGTTTACTACCTACTTTAGTAAACAGTTACTACCTGCAACCGTTGATAACTTTTTGCGACCTCTTTACTACCAACGTTAGTAAACATTTAGTAAGTGAATTGAAAGAAGTAGTAACTGCAGCCTTTACTACCTTTCTTGCCCCGTTACTACCTCTTTGCTACCCGGCTTTTTACTATCTATTCCAATATAGTCTGTGAATGCGAATCTGATAATTTATGAGAGGAATCGTCTCGACGTATAATCATTACACAGAAAAATGACGCAGAAGGTATCCATAGATCAAGAAAATACGTTTTGTTTTAAATTACGCAACCGAGATGTGTAAACGTCACTCTGATCATGTCGCAACGAAGAAGTACAAGTTAACGAATCATAAGCAAGTGCTACACGTTTTTTAATAGACAATCACAACAAACTTAGTAAATTACAGCACATATTAACAAGACCGGCAGATCAATATAACCAGACGGTCACAATTAGCCTCGAGGACAGTCACAGTTAATCCACTGCGGCGTGTCTCCAAATATTATCATTATTCTGACGCGCCAAACCCCTAAAACGAATATTACCTTTTAAACGCAGTTATATTAGTCGTGTGAAGCATTCAAACGCACTGAGAACAAGTTCGGTGCATTGCTCCGGCCATCTACATATTGCCTTTTTGTGGCCATTTTATAATAAATAAATATGATATATACTTTTTATAAGCATGTATGATTAAAGGTCTTGTGCGACGTAACCAAGTAGTATATTATAGTGCTATAGGTTTATATTTGAAAATTCATCCTGAAACGCAAGTGCTCCCCTGTATCAGACATGCCCCTGCAAAGTAGGGGCTATATGTACCCCACGCTTACTTCTTACTACATGTATACGTAAAAAATAGTGAACTTCGCTCGCTCTCCGGCGTGCCGATGCTGGTCACAGTGCAAGCAGGGCCACGAAGATTGAACAATGTGTGATCCCGGATTGAATCTGGACGTGTTTCAATGAAGTTTATCGGCCAGCCGTTCCGAGCATTCCAAACAGATATGACTCCTGACGTGTGGCCACTCACAATTACATCCCCTGATATCTTGAGGCACGTGACTTCTTTGAAAGGTCTCAGGTTGCGAATGTGATAGGAAAGCTTTGAAACAACCCTTGTGCTGTGTTATCGCTTATACACTGAACCAGTCAACTTGGACAGGTCGACATTCATCATTTGGGCATGAATCATCGAGCAGTTCATACAGAACGTCATGGAGGAT